AATCTTTGGCCATTTTGCGTGGATTACATTAATATATTTTCAGTTTAATATATTTTCAAGTACACACTTTTCAATTTACAAGGGCACATTCGCCTTTTACAAGGACACAAAGTGTGTACAAGGACACGCTATTTTAATGCCTGGTTTCAAAAGACGTACAATCCTAGACGAAGGTTTCCATAAAGTGATATAAAATTATAAATGAAGTATGACCCAAGGCCAAGGTGTGTGCCCCCCCCCCCCTCCCACACAATGGTTGTGTGTTTAATATTTAGAAATTAAATAACATACTTTTGTACAATTATGCATAAATTATCCATAATTATATGTTTGTGTTGGGTAAATGCAATAATTTTAATAATCTTCAGTAGTTCAGTCACACTGTTTACAGAGCCTGAAATAACGGCCGGCGGTTTTCCGACCAAATTCCGATTTTTCCGATCAAATGCTGAAATGATCGGAAATTTTGTCCGGCCAAATTTTGAGAAAAAGAAAAATGTTTTCTTAATGATCGGGTCGGCGCTCAGCACAGTGAGTACCATCTGTAAGTTTGGATTATCTATATTAGGCTAATATAAAGTAATCAACTGGAAAGTATAGTTCACGAGCCCAATAAGCAAGATGGTGGTTTACAGCGTGGTGTTGTCGGGTAACTATTCCAATAAGCAATTCAGAATAAAACATTTGTGTTTTATTATTGCAAGTAGAGTGATTTACTCAGTGCACGTCTGCATGCTTGACAGTGTTTGTTCATGGGGGGGGGGGGGGGGGGGGTGGTGGACTTGGTCAAACTAAACTAAAAAAAAATCCGGTCAATTTTGCAAATTTCCGGTCAAATTTCGTTTTGATCGGAAGTTTTTCCGGACAAATTTTAAAATTATTTCAGGCTCTGTGTTTATATACGAGTCATTACATATTGAAATGCAAAGAACTGTACTGCGTTATCTACATGCCAGACTGCAGAGTATGGCAGTTTTCGACGAGATCTCGGGTGTGCAAGACAAAAATTCAGGTGTGCAAGTGTGCAATCCTCAGTTAACATAGTCAAGTGTGCACTTGTAAATAGCTGCATGTTCTAATGATATTAAACAATGATTGTTTATATATTTGTACAAATAACTAAAATTTCTGCCTCTCAGGAAAACAAAACGTGGTCCAAATTCTGACGAACAAACAAGAATATATATTTCGATCGGAGTTAAAAGTCATTATGAACATGTACAAAATAGCGTGTTTTTGACACACTTTTTGTC